ACTGAATGAGAACTGGAGGGTAGTGTTAAGAGATAATCTATTCTAGCCAGGCATGGTGGCCTCCGCCTTTAATCCCAGCACTCTGGAAGCAAAGGCAGGCTTAGTCTACTTAGTGAGTCTCGCGTATAATAAAAAAAAAAAAAGAGAAACTATTTTAAACCCTGATTCAGTCAACAAAGCCTGGAGTAGTTATGATTACGTACAGATGCTGGAACTGACGGCTCTTCTCTTCAGTCCTTCCTGCTGGCACTGGTACTTGGGAGGATTTTGATTATTCTGAGCCTGTCATGACAGTGCTATATGTATTTTTTAGTTGTCATCCAAGGCAGATGGTTCTGAAACACTGCTTATACTTTATTGAGGACTATAAAACTTATTGAGAGTCTGTGGAAATTAATAGTAAACCCTTAAAAACATTCATTTTAAACTCTAATTTTGGTAAACATAATTCATGGGTTGTGATACTCTAAAGGTAGAGGCGCTAACACAGGACTAGACCTTGAGAACTCTGAATCCAGATCTTACCCTTTAAAGGGGTCATTTAGGGGCTGGAGAAATGGTTCCCCATATAAGAATAAGAGCACTTGGTTGGCTTGCAGAGGACCAGGTTGGTTCCCAGCACCTACATGGCTCAACCATGTGTGTAACTCCATTTCCAGGGATCGGATGCCTTTTGGCCTCTTAAGGTATCAGGCACACATGCAGTGCACTTACTTTAGGCAAAGAAAACACTCATACACATAAAAATAAATCTTAAAGACAGGATACCAGGCTCCTCGTTCTATACACACGGACACACGTGTGTATGTATATGTCTTTATACTATGTAGGCCTTTGGCTTCATGAAATGTGGGTACTGTACTAAAATAGCAAAGGTTTTATTTAACTGTATTATTGATGTTGAGAGTTGAACTCAGGACCTAAGGCATGTTAAACACTACCCACTGAACAGTGCCCACAATAATAAACCTTTCCATTGTTCAGTTTGTGGTTAATGTGCATCATGAGAATTAGAGCTTTTTGGAAATCTTATGGTCAAAGCATATGATATCAAGTTATCTTTAGTTTGTGATTGGTTGCTCAATACTGGTTCAAAGATATTTGAACTTAATAACTAAATATGTGTGTTACATATAGATACTACAACCCTCACAAACTTGAGGGTCTTTTGTGTGTGTGGGGGTGGTGGGGGTGGTGGTTGAGGATTGGGTGTGTTTCCTTCACATTTTCCAGTACTCTAAAACTTAGTGCAGGGATCCTAGAAACAAGGAAGTTAAAACAGAACAAAAACAAAACACACACACACACAACTCTGGAAGAATTTAATGTAATCCAATTCTTGTTTGAAAGTGCTAGGGCAGTAGTTTGCATTATTAAGGTGAAGCTAAAAGGACATTTTCAGTATTTTAAGTTGAATTTTGGGATTAGGGCCAGTTTGGTCCACTTAGTTAGGTAACAGTTAAGTAGAGGAGAGGACCTACACACACACACACACACACACACACACACACACACACACACACTGTACCTATGAATACACTGTACACACATTCAAGTTAAAAATAAGAAGAAAAGAGTTAAAATGTGTAAACTTGATATATAACCTTCGTGTGTGTGTGTGTGTGTGTGTGTGTGTGTGTGTGTGTGTGTGTGTGTGTGTTTTAGACTGTTGAGATCTTGCTTTGTGTATACTGAAAGACTAAGGAGCCAGTAGACAAGTACTACCTAAGTCTGCACATCTAGCATGGTCTTCACTTAACTAGGCTGTCACGTTGAAAAGGTGAAAAGGGTGGCTCTGAGTGGTTAAAGGGTCTCAGTCAGTCAAGGCCTCCTCACTGGCAAGCCGTCGTCAGTTTCAGTACTGCTTTCTTCCTTCCTTCCTTTTTCTTTTTCTTTCTTTTTTTTTTTTGGTTTTTCAAGACAAGAGTTTCTCTGTGTAGCCCTGACTATCCTAGAACTCACTCTGTAGATCAATCAGGCTGGCCTCGAACTCACAGAGATCCATCCACCTGCCTCTTCGCCTCCCAAGTGCTGGATTAAAAACGTGTGCTATCACTGCCCAGCTGTAATGGCCTTAGTCTTATGACCAGGAGTAGGCAGCCAGCAGCTGTGGCACATGGCTGTAATCCAAGTGTTGGGAGGCTGAGATCATAGAATTGTGAATTTTAACACGATGACTGTGTTTGAAAGACAGTACCCATCTTAAGATGCAAAAATTGTAGTAACTGTGTGGTAAAAAAATCAATTTTATAATTTGTCATTGCTGACAAGAAAAAATCAACTAGGGATTTTTTGATTTGTTGAGACAGTCTCACATTGCAGCCCAGGATGTCTTGGAATTCACCATGTAACCCAGATTGGCCTTGAACTCTCTGCAGTCTTACCTTAGCCTCCTGAGTGCTGAGATCTCAGTCATGAGCCACTGTGTGTTTTGTCTGTGTCCACTCCTGGGCAGTTGAACATGCTTGTGACTAGATTTTAAAGAGTCCTGTTAAGGATCAAGTAGTATAGTCTGCTCTAGTTGTATTTGAGTGTTTCTGCCTTGTTCTAGAGTCGTGGGGGTTTCACTCTGTAAAGCTATATTTTAATTAACATTTTCATAGTGCCAAGCATTGCAGCATTCCACACAAGTGAGGGCCTCAGAAATAATGGCATAGGTGAAGACTATTGGGAAAATAGCTACATAGGTCATGCATGGCTAACAGATGCAGTCACGTGGTGACACTCAACACTCCAACATGGTGTTGGTGGGGTTTTTTCAAAGAACCTACAGACTGTGCTCAATACACTTGAAGCCTGATTATAATATTAGATGGAAACACAAACTAATACAGCTGCTGTTTCCAGGGTTAGAAAAAATTCCACAGGGGCTTCTGACAAATGCATTGAGGAAGCCCTTTCTGTAGGTCATTGTGGGTAAACAGACTGAGGTAACAGAATTAGCAAGTGGGAAGTTAGGAAATTTACTGGACTTTGAGTTTTCGGTAGGAACTCAGAAGTTCCTCGAGCTGAGTCCTTTGCTGAAGTGTGGGTAAGAAAAGCCTGCTGGGCTTCATCTTCTTACAAATTAATTTCTTTCTTTCCTTCCTTCTTTCTTTCTTTCTTTCTTTCTTTCTTTCTTTCTTTCTTTCTCTCTCTCTCTCTCTCTCTCTCTCTCTCTCTCTCTCTCTCTCTCTCTCT